GCTTTTGTTTGTCTGGGAAAGTATTTTTCCTTCGTATGTGAATGATAACTTCGCAGGCATATTTTTTCTTTCAGTCTTTGGAATATGACATTTCATTCTTTCCTGGTCTATAGAATTTCCACTGAGAAATTTGTTGTTGTTCAGTTGCTCAGTCGTGTCCAACTCTTTGTGACCCCATGGACCACAGCAAGCCAGGTTTCCCTGTCCTTCACCATCTCCCAGACAAACAAACAAAAAATTTTCCCTTAGTATATTTTGTAGTTTCTGTAAAGATTTTCATATATTCATGCTTTAATTTGTTGTACTGAAACTGTTAGGTGGTGTTTCGGAGAGCTCTAAAGAGCCTGGTCCTTTATGATTCAGCACAGAAAAGAATTCAGCAAGAGGAAAAGTGAGAGATAAGTGATTTATTAGAATAAGTCACTTGTGAGGCTTAGAAGCAGGTGGGTGAGGGGGTGTTGCACCCTGAGAACTTACTAAGATACAGTTTTATAATCAATGAAGAAGTGGAAATGGGGAAATGACCACTTTCTTCCTCATTCTTGATTAGATGTCCTGTTTCCATCATCAGCTTTTCCTCCAGATTAAGCAGGGCAGTATTTTTGTCCTTACATTGTCAAGCCAGTATCATCATCAGTTCAATCCAGTCACTCAGTCATGTCCAACTCTTTGTGACCCAATGGACTGCAGCACGTGAGGCTTCCCTGTCTATCACCAACACCCAGAGCTTGCTCAATGTCCATTGAGTTGGTGATGCCATCTAACCACCTCATCCTCTGTCATCCCCTTCTTCTCCTGCCCTCAGTATTTACCAGCATCAGGGTCTTTTCCAATGAGTCAGTTCTTCACATCAGGTGGCCAAAGTATTGGAGCTTCAGCTTCAGCATCAGTCCTTCCAATGAATATTCAGGACTGACCTCCTTCAGGATGGACTGGTTGGATCTCCTTGCTGTCCAAGGCACTCTCAAGAGTCTTCTCCAACACCACAGTTCTAAAGCATCAATTCTTCAATGCTCAACTTTCTTTATGGTCCAACTCTCACATCCATACATGACTACTGGAAAAACCATAGCTTTGACTAGACAGA